CTATCTCAAAATTTATAAATATTCATAATGGGTTTAAATGTATATTTTATGTTATTAAGAATGTGATTTAAATTTCGATTAGATATATTTTTGGATTTGCATGATATGGATTAAAACATGAAAATTATTATATAAAGTGATTTCTATTGATTTTAGGATCCACATTAAATAGTATTGTAAAATTCAACGGGTTACTAATTAAAATTTAAATATTTATCTTATTAATTTTTATTCTATTTACCCACATGTTAGCGTTGATTCTATTCTAGTGTATTGTAAAGTCTTAAGGATCATGACCAATAGTCAATTCGCTATTTTTCTTTTCAAAATTCAATTTTATTTAATTAAATAAAAAACAGAGAGGATATCGATGATTCGTGTGCGCCGCGAGATCTGCCGTGAACAGTACCAAACTCGGATTTTTCACCATCTGGTCCGGTGACGGCGGCTTCCATAGCGCCGGAACCGGATCCGTGGAATATGCCCTTTAATTTTTTCCTTTGCTTGTTTTTATCTCGGATCTGATCTATCGGAGGTTTTGTTCCCTTGGTTTGCTCTGTTGCTTGAGGTCGGGTGTGATGAAGTCTGGGTTTACGACTTGTCAATGTCTCGGCTAGGGTGAGAGATCTCTCCGAATGGGGTGGAAGACGCGGGTGGATCTGGGAGGCTGACTTCCTTGGTCTCGTGCTCGTCCCTTTGCTCTCCCCGGTTTGTCTTTCTTATTTTGAGTAACAAGTTTATCGTCGATGGTCAGGTTAGTTTTAGGTCTTCGTGGTGGGTCTGACCCGGGTTAGGCGTGTTCGTTTTGTTGAAAATGGCTCACTTTTGGTCTCGGCTTGCTCGGAGATTCCCGTTTCATTCTAAAGTTCATGATTGTTAGTCTAAGCTCTTTCTCTCTTCCGGCTTAGTTGATGAGTCTATGCCTTTGTTCGTATCGTGTTCCTGCTTGAGGTGATTTTTTGGTGCTGTTTGATTAAGGGTTCGTTTACAGGTGACTCTAATTTGATGAAGGAGAGGTTCTCGAGGATGTTTATCCTCACCTTGCTGCTTAGTTCCCTACTTATCCGTTGTGAATATTTTTTTCTATTGGCGTTTTGCTTTCGGGTACGGGTTGTGTATCAATATGAAAAACTTGGATATGTTTGGGGTCTACTCTTGCTCGGGATTTATCTCTTCCTCCTGGTGAAACATTGGCTTTTGTCACTCTTAGTTGGTCCTAGCTTTGGACTCGTGATTGGTTTGTCTCGAGTATGCGTGCAGCTCCTTGTCACCTTTATCGACGTTGTGATTCGAAGNAGTGGTACTACGTTTGANGAGTTCNTGGGAAGGAAGACTCTTGGCTTTGTTGGGGTTTTGAGTTGGTTTGTTTGGATCGATAATCTTTCGCTTTAGTTTGTTGGTTCCTATTAATGTAATACTTTGGTTTTATGGTGTTTAGGCTTCGCCTCTCTGTCTGAGGATCTCGATATAGATCCTCCTCCGTATTTCATCTTTGTATTCTATCCTTGTATTCCAAAAACGTATTCTATCCCCATATTTTACGGTGTTTAATATAAATATTTAAGATGAAAAAAAAAAAAATCGATGATTCGTGTACGTTAATGTTTTCAATTTTATAATAAGGAAAACAATCTTTGAGAATATCGGAAACTAAAAGCTTACAGTCTTACAAAGATTCAGAACATAAACTTTTAAGAAACCACCAACCGCAGAAGAAAAATCTTGCAGTAACTTAAACCCTCCGAGTTTCATTCCTTTTTCCTGGATTCTTTAAGCAGCCCCTTCTTCCGGATCTGGAGGCACCTCTTAATGTTGAATGATTCGAAAACGCTCTCGGGTAATGCAGAGACTACTGCACCCATGAGAGCATGAGGCCAGTATGGTGTGCAACGTGCTTCATAGCCTACAAAACGCAGTGCTGCCTTTGCGTAACCCTCTGGTGATGCCACTAAGAAGGATGCTCTTCTTATTGATGTCATCTTCGTCGCAACATACAAGGGAACCTATGAAAGCAGTCACCCAATAAGCCATATAATCAAGAAACCAAAAGTAGTTGAGCAGTGTCACCCATTAAGTTCCACATACAGCTATAACATACATGGAAAGTGCCACAGATTATTAGCAGTTGAAACATAATCTTTGGCATAAGGATTCTATATCCGAAAATATTCCATAGTTTTAGACGTTCTTTCACATATACGGCCTTAATCAATAGTCCAAAACGAGATCATAGAAGTAACAAGGCTGCAAAAGCTCCTCATTTGCAAAAACAAGTTAGCATAAAACTAAAATACGCGTTGAACAAAAGTCAACCTTCTAGGTCCACTAAATAAACAGAAACAGGGTAAGAAAACCATGAAAAATACAGCATCACATCTTCTAGGAATTCAAGAAACAGACAGCCATGGCTTCTTCTATGGATTTAAGGATCAGCGATTTACATATTATCTGTTCTTGATTGCCAGACAAAACTTATGCCACTACTTCATTTGTTTTTCAAATGGGACCAAAGATTAACTTAGTTAAGCCAAGAACTACTATCCTACCTTAACCTATGATCCCTCAGCAGTACCATATTTTGTTCTTACATAAGGTTAGTTTTTACTCATTGCTTAATCCTACTTCTGTTCTTACAAAGATCCACTTGAAATCAAAACCATTTGTCTTTCTACTTTCTTAACAAATTCCAAATCTCATTGTCAACACAAAGACAAAAAAACGAAGCAGCAATGATTCAGGAAAGCTCACCTGGCATTGAACATCAATCCCACTTTTCTTGTACTCAACATGTAGACACCTTGTGAATTGATCCACGTACCTAAGAACATAACCAAACAATCTCACTCCTTAAACCACTCGAAGCATCAGCTAAAACAAACAAACAAAGCAATGAATCCCTTACGTTTTGGCAGCAGCATAAACAGAGTAGAAAGGATACGAAGGGATAAGAGCTGCAGCACCAGATCCCATATTGATAATCGCTCCTCGCTTCCTCTGTAGCATATTGTGCAACACAGCCTGAGTAACTTTCGTGGTTCCTTCAACATTGATCTTGATTAGGTTATTGAGTAACTCTTCATCAACCTCATGAAAGTACTTAGCGAAAGGGTACGACATTCCAGCATTGTTGATTAGTATACCAATATCCAAATCCTCAATGGTTTCCTTGATCCGTTTCACACCTTCATCGATATCTCCTGAGAAATCCATCACAACGGTTTTGATCTGGATGTTACTGTACTTGGATCTGATCGAATCGGAGACATCGTTGAGCT